TAAAACACCTACTCCAATCCAGATCGCAGTTTTTTTGCTTAATGGGATGCACTTGCTGAGGAATACAGCAGTTCCTCTTATCCTACTGAAACAGCTTTGTGGCGCCAATGGCAATCACAAATACTCCAAAATATTGACCTCAGTTCGAGAACCCAATTTGAAAGACAAGCATGCGAAAGCAGTACAAGATATACATATATACATATTATTTCAGCGACAAGTTTGACACCGCGACGATATCATTAACATTCAAGGCAAGGACAGAACTGATAAGGCTGAACTATGTTCCATATATACAAACAACTAATACTTATTGCACCCTATGCAATATGTATGAAAAAGTAGACATCATTCATCTCATGGGACACTGCCCTATCCTGTGTGAAATTAGATGGTTCCACTGGGGCAAAACCATATTAATTCCATCTGAATGCTATGCTTCACTAAATGGCGCAGACTGGCGCAAACTAGTAGCCTTTTTAAGGGAAAGTTTGCAATACTGACGTGAAGTACTGATGGATTGTAGCGAGTGATATCGACGAGTAATTTTTAACGTACCACTTCTCTTATATCATGTACATCTGTTATTAGTATTAATATACTTTTTCTTTTTTTTTTATTATTATTTTTATATTTATTATGTATCTAATTCTCATGTCCTATTTTACGGTTTCCTTAATTTTAAATTTCTTCATCATTATAGCATTATATTAGTTATTATAATCACGTATATATTTGCACTATGTTCGAATCGTATTTAAATCTTAATAAAGACAGACAACTTAATAGTTATTATCTCAAATAATCTAATAAATCTATCTATCTATTTTATGTACTCTTTGTTAGGATCATTGTATTATAAAAGGATATCTGTAATAGCGATAAATTAATAAACTCTTACTTACTTACTTACTTATATATACAATAAAAAAAAAATAATATTTCTTTATATAACTTTATATTATAATATAATAACACATCACTCAATAAATCGTGTGACTATCTAAGAAAAACAAATTTTTTTCTGCCAAAAATCGATTTTACTCATCAATATAATCTCCTTCAAGGGCAATACAATCATTCCAACGCTTCTCTAACTTCTCGATGCCGTGCTTGTAGAAAGATTTGTCTTTTACCTCAAAATTGGCTTCAGTTTCAGCAATTACTTTTTCGTTTGAAATGAATTTCTGGAGGGGGAAACAATTCGAAGTGTAATTCGTGCAATTTTGCCATCGTTTTTGTTGACTTGTGACATGGTGCATTGTCTTGGTGAAACAAAATTTTTTTCTTTACCATATGCGGTCTTTCTGCTTTTAAACGATCCAGTAATGTCGTGTAGAATTTACTATTGATAGTTTTTTCGTCTTTGAGATAGTCAATGAAGATTATAATATGTGCATCCCAAAATATTGAAGCTATAACCTTCCCAGCTGACTGTTGTGCCTTTGGACGTTTCATACGTGGCACACCGGCTGCAGTCCACTCAGATGATGATCGTTTAATTTCCCGAGTGAAGTGATAGATCCATGTTTCATAAATTGTCACATATCGACGCAAAAAATCGGATTTCTTACGTGTAAATATGGCCAAACACTGTTCTGACACATCAACACGTTGTTGTTTTTGATCGACTGTGAGTAAACGCGGCACCCACTTTGAAAAGAGCTTTCTTATGGTCCAATGTTCATGCATAATTGTAAACACACTGCCTTCAGATATCTTTACAGTCTCAGCCATCACACGCAATTTCAATTTACGATCACAAATATAACCAATTTCTGGACTTTTTGATGTTTTCTGTACTAACCACCTTAATTGAGCGACCAGAATTTTCACCATCATCGGTGTCTGTACGACCACGTTTAAATTTAGAAAACCAATAACAAATGGTTCTTTTCGATGGAGCAAAGTCTGGATAACACTTTTGAAGTCATTGCTGAGCTTGTACAGTATTTTTTTTCATCAAGAAGCAATGATAAATTAACACACGAAATTGTTTTGAATCCATTATTCGAAAATAACAACAGTAGCTTCACTTAAATGGCTGTCACTTTTTTTCTGACTAATCGAAATGTCATGAAATTTTACACATTATTATATTACACAAAATGCGAATATTTGTCATCAAAAATTGTTGTATTGTTTTTTAAAGTGTTCTCAAACCTGATTTATACACTTTTGCATGTGTTCAAACCAATTGTCGAAGCACTTTTTCCACTCCGAATGAGACACTTCCAAAACATGGTTTTTGAACGCTTCAATAGCATCTTCTGGCAAAGAAAATCGTTGACCACGCATTTTTTTCTTGGTGTGCGAAAATACGAAAAAGTCATTGGGTGCCAAGTCAGGGCTGTACGGCGGATGATCAATCAATTCGACGTTTTGGCCGGCCAAAAAGACGCTGGTTTGAGCCGATGTGTGAGACCTCGCGTTGTCATGGTGAACAATGATTCATTGTCTTTTGTTCGTTTTTCGAATTTCTTCGAAAACTTCAGGCAAACAAATTGTTGTGTACCACTCAGAAGTGACTGTCCTTCGTTGTTCAAGCGGTACAGTCGCCACATGACTAGTTTTGCCGAAAAAACAGGCGACCATTTTCTTCGAAGTGCTTCTTCCACAAACAACTTTTGATGGATTTGGCTCATCTTCGAAGACCCACACAGTCGATTGTTGTTTTGTTTCGGGCTCATATGCATAGGTCCATGATTCGTCACCTGTGACGATCTTATAAACGTCTTTTGAAGCACCGCGAACGTATTTTTTCAACATTTCTTTGCACCAATCGACACGAGCCTTTTTTTGAGCGATTGCCTAATTGTGCGGGATCCAACGAGAACAAACAGTTTTTACGGCCAGGTGTTCATACAATATCGAATGTATGCTGGTGGGAGAAATGCCCAAGGATGCGTCTATCTCAAGTTATGTCACATGACGATCTTGCATTATCAGTTCACGCACGGCATCAATGTTCTCTGGACGACCTTCACAGAATTCGTTGTTGAACGACCGTCGGCCACGATTGAATTCATTAAATACAAAGATTTAAGTTCATCAATGTACTCTTGTCGTGATAATCTACGTCGAAAGTTGTGAAAAATTATCGCGCGAATATGTTCACGTGTTAATTCTATTTTTTGGCCAAGATGAATTTTTCAAGTCTCTGTAAATAAAACAATTCACAATTAAATGGCAACACGTTCTGAATGATGTTATGCTAAAAAATGCCAAACTTTCCAATGGAAATGTCAGATTGCAGCTGGTAACACTTAGCGTTGCCTAGACCAGAAATATATATAGCAGCCCTTGTATTATTATTATAGTTAGGAGATGTGGCACTCCGACAGTCGGGTCTATTATGCCCCCTTCTGGGCTTGGAGTAGGTCTTTAATCCCTGTTGCGTCAATAAGAAGTAGTATAGAACCTACTTTTACAGAGTAAATTTTATACATAGTCTTTTGAAGGTTGGTACTTTATAAATGCCATATGGATTTGACAATGACAGCGCCATCTGTGTATCAGTCATACGACTTATTGAGTGATGTGTTAAAAACATACGTCATGTAATGTACCAACGATTATAGTTAGACAAATAAGTATTTGTAATTTAATTGTTATGAAATTAGTTGTTTTTTAATTATTTAATAGATACATAAATAATTCAATATTATTAAATGTTTTTATTAATATTGCAATAATATAAATAAATAAAATAAAGGAGGAATTCTACAACACAAAAACATTTAAAAATTAAATACAATATATGTATATATAAATTTTAACCTGTTCTCGATTTGCGCATGTGTATAAAAACACATTCAATAATCGAGATATATATTTAGATATACATATATGTAGAAAGTTATATAGAATTCCTGTACATATTTATATTTATAAATATATTGTACTGTCGTTTAATTGTTTCTGTTATTTTATATGTTATATATTACTATTATGTTATATTATAATACTTAAACAAAATAGTTATAAGACTATAAAATAAATAATTAAGATGACATAGATTGACCGAAATATTGGACAAATATATGTCCTATATTTCCGCATGATATTCAGTAAACATAATAAAATTTATATTTAAGTAATCGTAATTTTTTTTGATAAAAATTAAATGGACATAATAGCACACACAAAAACATTAATTTAAAACAATTTTTGAGTTACTGAAATTGCGACATAACCAACGCTGTGTGAGCCGGTGCGTTATCGTGGTGTAAAATCCATGAGTTTTCCTTCCATAAATCTGGCCTTTTTTTGCGAATGGCCTCATGCAAACGACGCATAACATCCAAATAATACTCCTTATTGACCGTTTGACCGTCCGGAAGAAATTCATAGTGCACAACACCACAAATATCGAAGAAAACAGTCAACATAACCTTGATTTTGGACCGACTTTGGCGTTCTCTTTTCGGTTTCGGCTCACCTTCGAAGCACCATTCGGTCGATTGTTGTTTGGTGGGCATGTCAAATTCATAGACCTATGTCTCATCACCAGTTATGATGAAACAAAAACTAATCGTACGATATGCGTTAAACTTTGACAGAATGTGTATAATAGTGTTGCCAGCGTAAAAATAAAAAAAATTTACCAATTGGATAAGCGTGGGTATTCAAAAAATTAAAATTCTCATTCTTTTTTGATCACAAGATATATCATTAAGTAGAATACTCAATTTTATACTTTTTAATTATATTTTTTCCATTTAAAAATTATAGTTTTACTGAATTTCATTTATTACTTTATGTTATTATTTTTTAATTTTCTTTTTGAGACACCCTATGCTCATAGTGCCGACACTTACTATTGGCAGAACTAATAATCAAATTTTCAATAATCTGAGAATCTCCAAAATAGTAGATTCTCTTAGTTTTTTTTTTGAATGCAAATTTTTGTTGTAATAATCTACTAAGCAACTGATCTGTTGCCTGAATACCCCTAATATATTATATTGAGAATGAATGATTAAATTTGTTAAATTTACCCCATAGCACATTCACATCTGAATCCAATGGGCTGATCAATGCATTTCTGTGCACAACCTGCATTATTTATAGCACATTCATTTATAGAGCATTTATTGGCAGGTTCATCTTCACCATCAGGACAATCTTTTATTTTATCGCATACTTTTGACACTGGTATGCATTGAGCACCACCACAATCGAATTCTGTAGTAACGTTGCAAGTTGTCGATTTATTAATTTCTATTGGAAAATGTATACAAACAGTTTTTATTTTACTCTTAGTTTTATAAAATTAAATACAGTTAACAATCATTAACCCACCACAATTTATTTCATCGCTATTGTCTGCACAATCAGCTACTCCATTACAGATCATATGCCCGGGTATGCAAGCGCGAGATGTGCACTGAAATTGATCCGCACGACATGTAATATTTTTACAATTACTTTCAATCTCATCATCGCCATTTGGACAATCTTCTTCACCATCGCATACCCAATTGTGATTAATGCAAGTAATGTGATCCTTGCAACGATACTCTGATGTTAAGCAAGGTGTAATAGTTTGTGTACCATTTGAACATTCCTAAATGAAGTTATTATAAAAAGAATCAGTTGATATATTTAAACCAAATTAAAATTTGTATAATATAAATTAATTTTTCTAATTTCGATTTTATGTTATATTATAATTATTATTTCTATAAAGGATAGCCTAGTTTTAAGCCAAACCTGCTGAGCGAGGAACATTTATATTGAAATAAATCAATGTTTTCAAATAGGATTGGTTTCTAAAAACCAAAATACGCTGTAATATAAAAAGAAATCGTGTCATTTTGTAGTTCGTACATCTGTCACCTTGTAGAAAACCATTTCTTGCAGAAGTTAGTCGAGCAATTAGGTAAAAAGTTAAAAATGTTATGTTTTTTGCAAATTGATAAAGATTAAATAGTTTTTTACTAGCCTTTTTGTCAATTTTAATAAAAAAATAAAGTTCATTTGTCTCATACATTGACTGGAAATATTAGCGCTGTTAGTAACTTATCGTCGATTATAGGAGAGGTGTAAGAATGCCTACTTGTGTATAATTCCCGTTTGTGTTAGAGAATTTGTGGAAATTGATAAATCTTAAGATAACGCGTTTGACAAAACTAAAACTGAAAATAGCAGTTAACAGCTGTATGTTAAGCTGTAATGTATATGCGTTAGTTATATTGGCAATGCATACAATTAATATAATAATAAGTGGTTCTATATTTAAGTGCGCAGTATATATAAAAATACACTAATTGTTTCCAAGCGCATTGCATTGTTTACAAACAAATGCATAATTCCACATAAGGAATTTGACACCACACATATCGGCGGCACTTTGCCTTTGAGTTAACAATATGCTTGACAGGCATTGACCGCATATACAACAACATCAACAGTAAGCGTACCCGATACAAGTGGAATCGAAGGCGCTTACCATACTTAGCAATAAATTATTAAATAGTAAAGTACTTACGCTGCGCCGTTTTGTACTTAAATAAAAATGCATATAAAATATTAAAATAAATAATACCAAAATATATATATAAATATAAAATATTTAGTATATGAGAAAGTACATACGCTGCGTCGTTATGTACCTAGGTTAAGTCGAAAGTAATGATTCAAATAAAAATTAGAACTAGAAATTCACTCATAAGAAGCGCACCAAGTTCTCAACTAAAAATCTTCTTTTTATTTTTGAAGTAAAAATCTATATTTAAAGAAGGAACGCCAAATAATATCGGCGATTTAATATCCTTCAAAATTTAACGTTTTTACAAAGCTCTTGACAAAAAGTAGATAAGCCTTCATATTAGAAATAAGAATAAAATTTCTGCACTTTATTTAGAATTCCAGCAAATAAATATTTTATTATCACTGAAGCTATTTTTTCGATAATTTAGCAATTTAGTTGCTAAAAAAAGTGTTTACAAGTCAACGCGTGGATTGAATTCTCTTTTGAGTTCAGCCATTATAATCATAAAGTAAAATTATTTAGAAAAAAGAATTTGCACTGATTTTAAATTGAAATACCCTGAAGTGTCATATTAATACATAAAATAATTACAATAAATTGACAATTAACTGACAGTGAGTTCAAATAAGTGTATGCGTTACTTGATTAAACATCAGAAATAAATTAAATAAAAATAAAAATATATAATAAAACGTATGGAATGTAATGATAACCCCCTCCTCGTGGCGCATATTCGTAACACTAACTGACTTCTTAGCTATGTACTCAAACTTTATTTATGTTAGTACGATAATTCGTCATTTATGACATTTTCTTAATTCCTGTTTATGTTTTCATAGCCTTGGGCTAACGGAATTGGTATTCTCTTACCTAGCTTTGTCAGGGTTGAAAATGAGCAGAAATTGCTTTCAAATTGAGTGAGGACTAAAATCTAAAATAAATACTTAAACAATACTTAATACTCAACCAATCAATTCACCCTTAAATCGTAAATTAGTTTGAAATACAAAAATTTTGGACACTCCGCGCTTCCTACTATAACACCAACAGAAGCTGCCTGTTAGCTTTATCCGCTTCCTAATTTTAATGTAGCCAGTAGCAGGCAGATATCTTCGCATTTCCTCCTTTCGTCATGTGTTATGAGCCTTAGCAATAATTCGCGTCATATGGTGCACAAAGATGTTTTCAGTCTAAAAAAGATAAAAAAAACCGTGGAGATCTCCTTCTGCTGTCTGCTATCACTTAAATCCAGAAACGAGTGTATACAGAATAAGAGATCTGATTACCGAATCCTCAAAAAACAAAAATGTCCCTACTTTCTCCAACTCCAACCAACTAAACTTAAGCTACAATGCCGTAAATATCGAAGTTGTTAATTATTTAAAAATATTAGGTATAGTGTTTGACAACAAACTTAACTTTAAGCAACAATGTCTAGAATTAAGAAAAAACCTAGCTGCCAGGTTAAACATTATGAAATACCTTTCATCTAAACATTTTTTTATTCATGCATCAACTTTGATTAATATCACTAAATCACTTATACTCTCTAAATTAGATTACGCTCTACCACTCTTTGGATGGTGTGCAAACAGCAATATTAGACAGTTGAATGCACCCTATCATGCTGCCGTTCGAAGGAGTATTGCTGCGTTCCCCACAACTCCAATCATAAACTTATTGACAGAAGCTGGGCTACCTACAATATCAAATCGAGTTAAGTCAACAACTTATAAACTTGTTCCTAAACTACTGTGCAGCAACAACGCTATTTTACATAAAGACGTTGTAAATGTATTTCATCAAAAGCAAACAAATAGAGTTAAGTCGACAATTGTGCGGTGTATTGAATATGCTAAATTCATCGACCTCGACATTAAACCTCATCGTATGATACAAAATCATGAGCCCCCTTGGTTTCTTAATCCAACATCTTTTGTAATCGACCTGCAAACCTATGGAAAAAGTAACACAACCATCAAAATGTATAGACAACTGTTTGCAGAATTTTCTGATTCGTATATAAAAAACAATTGGACTCTATTGTACACAGACGGTTCAAAAACTGAAAATCATGTCACATTTGCTATAATACAACAGAATGGCTCCGTAATCACTACTGGATTAGTTGCACCCCATTGTTCCATCTTTACTGCAGAGGCTCTGGCTAAAAAACTGGCTACTGACCACGCAACATGCAACAAAGGCAAATTTCTGATATGTACCGACAGCAAATCTACAATTGAAGCTGTAAAAAATATCAATAATAACACCAATCTTATTTGTGCTATCAGAAACAACTGCATACGTTTTTTAAACAAAATTAAAATTATGTGGGTTCCTGGACACGCAGGAATTAAAGGAAACGAACTAGCAGATCAAGCTGCCTCTGTCGCCATTCGCTCTCTCTTATTCTTATTCCAGACATCCGAAAGAAAAGACGTTTTAAATTTTATAAACAAACATATGGAAGACGAATGGGCTATGGAATGGTCAGTGTACAACCATCGCTACAAGTCGATCAATACCAGTGGTTTAAAAGCTATGTACCCACAATCATGCACTCGTCAACACTGTAAGATTTTTATCCGATTGCGTATGGGACATTCAAAGCTTTTTCATGAACATCTTTTGAGTGGCGATCAGCCATCAAACTGTCCATTTTGTAATAGCACACCATCCATAGATCATATACTTAACGATTGTCCTTCTTTTAATTCTATTCCTAGTAATATCTTTCCCAATATCTCACCAACTAGCGTTTTAAAAACAATTAATGTTAAAAACATACTTTTGATGTATAAATATATTAAAGCCTGCAATCTAGTAAATAAAATTTAATTTATAATATCCGAGCTGAAGGCCCTGGCAGCTAGCGCTCGTTTTTCTGATCTTAGTTATAAGATTTTATATTTTGTAATTAATTATAATAAATAAATAAATAAATAAATAAAAGAATGGCTTAACAAAAAACTGCTCCTACCCACACCAATAAACGTCAACGTTTGAAAGAGCAAGTTTCGTTGCACGACTTGTTTAAATGCCCTAAACTGGATGGTAAAAAACCTTCTTGATATTTTTGCGACGTTACCAACGACTCTTTACCAACGTATCTGATTATCATCAGATACCTTTGGAACAGTATGAAACTTACTCGACAAGTTTCTGGCGTGAAGTCTCACTTTCTTGGTTATAATTTGAAGCCCGGATGGTTTGTCATTAACTGTCTGGACCACGAAACCTGGTCTAAGAAGACAATAACAGCCTTGAAGCCGTGCGAAAGTGCCCAACTGAAGATAGTGTACGAGATAGAAGTGCCAAAGTCCAAAATCTATTTCGAGTACTTTCTAGGCTGAGCTTATTGGGCAAAGAATCGAATTTTAGGACAAGTTGAGTGCCAAAATTCGAGCATGCATGTCGCGAGTGCTTAACAGGCTCCATAAGGGCGATTTTCTCGGGATAGCGATGCCTTGGTCTCCATTTTGGTTGAAATTATTGAAAAGCTGGGCAGTAAGGTTTTTTATGAACTTGGTAGTGCCTTGCTGAAACCGAGACAAAAGGGAAGCAGGGCTAAGATTGTTGTTGATGTTAAGCTACCATCAACATCCGCGGTGGGTCGTGCTCAGGCCAGAAGTCGGAAACGAGCCTCACTTCCGGGAGACCACCATTAAAGAGAGGACAAGAGCAAAATCTGTGCCCAAAGCCACAAACATTCTGCTCCTTCTGGTCATCTCAAGGAGTGGGGAAATAAACACCTATGGAATATCTGCGCTATACAAAGGGCGGCAAGGTCCAGAAGGGCCAAACTGGAAAGTAATACCCAGATTCTTGCGTCACGACCGCATTTTTTTCATTTTTCAAGTTGCATTGTGCCGTTGTCAATTGGCTACTTTACATTGAAAAACAAAAGCCTGCAAACGTTATATATTGAGCGCGCGAAGCTTTTAATATATAAAATCATGCAACAGGAACTACTTGAAGATTGGTCGACATTGAAAATGTGGAGAATAGTAGAAAAGAACAGTCCCTTATATAGATTACAAGTATATATGGATAACAATGGGCTCATGAGA